TGAAACTATATCGCTGTTGTTTCAACATTACTTGATCAGATTCTTGGAAATTTGTTACAGTGGTGTGGGTGTACTTAATCCACATGGACTGTAGTGATTTCAAGAAGATGGTTTGCCATTGAATGCATAATAAAATCAGGCTCATAACTGAAGAACAAATAAAAGGAAGAGGTTCCTTTACTTCACTTAACCTGTGCTCGAGCTGGCCTGCACTATTTTATGGTGTTGTGATTAGAACCAGGGCCAGATGGATCTCATTGACTATGAGATCCTTCATTGGGATTGTTGACTTGGACCAATCAGGGAGCCTTGGCTGACAGATATAAATTGGAGATTCAAAGTTCTCTTCATTCAAGGGACTGGCTCCGAGCTGGCTGGTCGGTCAGAACTTATGTACTGTGCACATGTAAATAAAGGATGACTGGGGATGGGATACCTGCCTCCTTGGAATTATTTCAGATGGGAACAGCATGGAAGGAGCTTTACTCTCTACCTAATGCTGTGCTGTGCTGGTCCTGGAGGTGTCGATAAGGCAGTGTAGAACAAGCTATGCTGTAACTAACCTTGTGCTGTACTTGCCGAGGGAATGTTTGACATGGGCAATGTAGACTGAGCTTTACTCTATGTCCCCACTCTGTGTTGTACCTTACTTGAGAGCTTTTTATGTGAACTGTGTAGAGAGAACCTTAGTCTGCATTTTAATGTTGTACTACACCTAGCCTGGGAATTTTGAGCTTTCCATTTATTCTAATGCCTTGTTATACCTGTCCTGCGAGTGTTTGATGGGAATGGTGTCGAGGCATCTTTACTCCTAAACTAACGCCATGGTGTACCTCCCTGGGAGTGTTTGTTCAGGACAGGGAGCTTTACTTTCAGTTTAAAATAGTAGAGGGAAGCTTTACTTTGTATCTAACTTCACGCTGTCCCTGTCATAGAATCATACAGAATAGAAACAGGCCCATTGGCCCAACTTATCCATGCTGATCAGGTTTTCCAAACTGAACTGGTCCCATTTGCTTGCATTTCACCCATATCCCTCTAAATTTTTCCTACCCATGTACCTGTCCAAATGTCTTTTAAATGTTGTCATCGTACTTGCCTCTACCACTTCCTCTCACAGCTCGTTTGATATACACATCACCCTCTATGTGAAAAAGTTCCCCTTCAGGTCCCTTTTAAATCTTTCTCCTCTTATCTTAAACCTATGCCCTCTTGTTGTGGGCTCCCCTACCCTGGGAAAAAGACCTTGACCATTCATCTTATTTATGCCTCTTATGATTTTATACATTTCTATAAGGTCACCCCTCAACCTCTGGAATGTTTGGGGACACTCAAGGGAGCTTTGCTTTCAATTTAAAAGAGTTGAGGTGCTTTATTCTATCTAACCCTTTGGTGGAATTGTTTGATGTGGACAGGATTGAGGAGGCTTTAAACTATCTCATCAGTGTTTGTCTTATGTCACATTTTATTTGGATTTCAAATGCTGTTCACAATAGATGAAGAGAATGTTTATCGAGTTGTTTCTCTTGGGAGTGGAAATGAAACTAGAAACTGTCAACTATAAGACACTGGGTGTAGACAAATTAGAACAGCCCACACAGTCTACAATTGGCCTTTGTAAATAAAATTATGAGCGGAGATATCTGTAAGAAATGGAAATAAATGCATCTGTGCAAACAGCTCTGGGAAATAAGAGGACGGAACTGCAGGAAAGGATCAGTACTTAATGTCAAGATTTTGACAGCTGCCATCAAATCATTACAATAATCTTAAGATAATATGATGTTAATTTGATGAAGCTTTGAACAGAGATAGATCTCCCCCAGCTCAGCACCAGAATCCATGCAACAGCTTCAGTCCTAATAGATGGTAACTGGTGAGTTTTGTGCTCTAGTTAGTTGGTACGCTGCAGCAAGGAGATATGTCAGCGTTTTTGTCATTTCTATAGCGGGTGCCCATGCTGTCCTTTGTTGCTTTCAGTAGAGATGGCCAAGAACCTGCACTTCAGCTTTGTTCACCAGGCAATGAATAAATGAGAAGGCACTGCAGACACTTGATTAAATTTTCAGGCTGACACTCGTTTCTTGCAGAGGAAGCAACTTGCTGTCAGCAGGCCCATCTTTAAGAAGAAGACAAAGTTTAGAACAGGATAATGTTGTTCGGATCATGGATCAGTTAAAAAGCATTAACAAAGAGTAGCCAGCAACAAGACATTTAAGTTGTGAAACTAATCAGTGAAGTACTGAAAGGATCAGGGATGGGGTCTGAGCTCAGTCATTGGTAATGATTCGGGCAGAGACAGAGAACATTTAATGCAAGATTTCTAAGGATACAAGAGGACAAACAAGGCATGACGAGATATAGACAGTTAGTGAGTGGGTAACCAGGTGATTGATTGAGTATTATGTAGAGAAATGTGATGTTATTCATTTTGGCAGTAATAGAAGAATAGAATATTTTTTAAAGGGCATGCAACATGGAAATGTACATTCTCAGCAGGACATTTTATGCCCACCTCTAATTATCCTCAGGAAGGTGGCAATGATCTGCCTTGTCGAACTGCTGTCGTACTTAGAACCTGAGTAAGGGTGTTCAGGATTTGGAGCAGTGGCAGCAAAAGAAAGCAAAGGAGGTATAGTTCCAAGTCAAGATGGTGTATGTCTTGGAGTGGAACCTGTATGGTATTCCTATGTATCTACTGCTCTTGCTTTTGATAGTAAAAGGTTTGGATTTGGAAGGTGCAGCAGTAAAGAGGCACTGAGTGCACTTGTGTGAGGAGGAAATGACACATTGATATTCCCTGCAACAATAAGGACATCTGAGGAGTTTGATGACACCAAATGTGGGGTTTTGTGCACGGTTTTGGTCTTTGTCCATCAGGAAAGATTTACTTGCTTTGAAGGTAGTGCCATGAAGATTCATGACCTTTGCTCCTGGATTGATGATAGGCTGAGTAAAATCGATCTGACTGCTTTATGGAATTGGAAATATGAGAGATATTCTACCTGAAACATGCATTGTTTTGAATGGACTTGGGAAGAGAGACACTGAGTTGGTGTCTCTGCTGGTTGGGGAATCTAGAACAAGAGGGCATATTCTCAGGATAAGAGGATGATAATTTAGAGATAAGATGAAAAATTACTATTGCCAAAGAGTTGTGAATCCTTGGAGTTTTCTCCCTTTTTGAAGCTTGTTATTGACCATATTCAAGGCTGAGAGGATTTGTACTGTATCAGAGAATGAATCCACAGTGCATTCCCATTTATTACACTGCAAATGGTGAAAACTGTAAAACCTGAGATCTTGGTAAATGTCACGAACTGGTCTTAAAAAGAACTGGCAAGGTTAATGAAATATGGAGAGAAATATAATATTTAAACAATGAAAAGCCTGGATAAACCACACTTTCAACCACTGTGAACACCTTTGTGAAGATATATAAATCTTGAAGGGACTGCAGTGAACAGTTCAGGGAGCGGGGCACAAGACTCGCAAAGCTTGACCTCTAAGAAAGAGAATGCAACCCAGTTTTGTGTTTCCTTGCATTTATAAATTTGACTGGTGGACTTACGCAATGTCTTCAAGCTATTGAGGAGAACGGATTGAGTCAACTGAGAAACTATTCAAGTGGATATGTAGAGATTTATTAGAAATCCTGGAGAATCTAGATAGAGTGGACAGCCAGAGACTTATTCCTAAGGTGGAGGTAGCTATTACGAGGGGCACAGTTTTAAAGTGAGTCGAGGCAGATATAGGGGAGACGTCTGAGGTAGGTTCTTTACTCAGAGAGTGGTAGGGCCGTGGAACACATTGCCGGAGAGGGTAGTAGAGTTGGCCTCATGAGGGGCATTTAAGCGGCTATTAGATAGGCATATGGATGATAGTATAAGGTAGGGGTGGAGGTTAGATAGACCTTAGGTTTAGGGTAAAAGTTCGGCACAACATTGTGGGCCGAAGGGCCTGTGCTGTGCTGTACTGTGACAACAAGGTGTAGAGCTGGATGAACACAGCAGGCCAAGCAGCATCAGAGGAGCAGGAAAGCTGATGTTTCAGGTCTAGACCCTTCTTCAGAAATGGGGGAGGGGAAGGGGATTCTGAAATAAATAGGGAGAGAGGGGGAGGCGGATAGAAGATGGATAAAGCAGAAGATAGGTGGAGAGGAGACAGACAGGTCAAGGAGGCGGGGTACTGTACTGTTCTATGTTCTATGTTTTTAATCTAGGATTTGAGGGCATATAATCTGAGAGTTGGAGTCAGACCTTTCAGAAAGCAAATTAGCAAAGGAACAAAGCGTGATGCAGTTTGAGAACTCTTCCCACATGCTGCATCAACCGTCAATTGTAAACCTGAATTTGATATTTCTCTCTCCAAAGTCACAAAAGAACATGGGTGTGAGCTGGATCAAGGGGCCAGTTCCCAGATCAGCTACCACCCCCCTGAAATGTGGCAGAGGTTGGAGGAGCTGTATGGCGTCCTGTTGTTGCAGTATTGGGCAACAGTTTACTCTCTGGGGTATGTGTGAAAGATCTGATGGCTCTGTAACATCACTGATCAGACGAGTGGTGTTGATACCTGGATCCTTGAGCTGTATTTATCCCACCACAACAAACAAAGCCAATTATGAGGCCGTTATCACATTTACTGTTTGAGCGATGCTTCTGTGTCAAATGAACTGCCTTGTTTCCTGTAATGACAACTGTGATTGCACTTGGCTGTAATGTATTGGGGCGTTGTTAGGTCCTGAAAGGCGTCAGATAAAGGCACGTTGTTTCTTTAAGTCTGCGTGGCAGGTTCAGGGGAGACCACTGAGCCGGAGGTTGGACAGGAGCTGCTCAGGAAAAGGATAGCTGTGTGTGCCGGACCCCCGGGCGTATTTTAAAAGCAGGGCCCGATGCACTGGCACATGAGAAGAAAAGCTTGTTGCTGCACTTGGATTGTCGGCGAGTGCCCCTTTTCTAACCTATCACCGCACATTGCAGAGCTGTTGTCAGACAGAGGCTCGGTACTGCAGTATCTGCTGAGAAATCCCCCCTTGGCAGCTGAAGGAACTTTGAACTGGCCGCTGTCAGCGTCAACTGGAAGCCAGGTAGGTGATAAAACAACTCAGAGCGGTCACCACAAAGCAGCCTGCTGCGTGCCCTCGCTGACACTCGCTTTGATTTTCATTTCTGTCAGAGAGTCCGTCTGCTTTCTGAAGGTGGCCCGAGGCCTTTGGGACCAATATCCCCCTCTCTACAGCTGGACAGACGTTAGTCCCTGACAGTTCAACCATCAAAAGAAAAGCTCCAGCCGCTCTGCGTTCTGTGAGGATCGGAGGGAGAGAAAGACAGCGGTGTCCATAAAGCAGCAGACCTGTGGAAACAAGACGGTGAGACTCGCAGCTCTTGCTGCTGCTGTGTGTTTGTGTGTGTGTGTGAGAGAGATCGAGACACTTCAGCTCAGGACACACTGCACTCGAATGTTTCCGTTCCTGTCCTTTTAGTGGTTAAGTGGCCTCCGCTCTGTTAATGCATATGGATCTCTCATGAGCCTCTGCATGTTCCTGATTTTTTTTTGTGTCACGTCCTGCGGAGAAGGGAGAGGAAATGTCTCCGTGTGTGCTAACTGCAGAATAAATGCAGCAGCAATCTCCAAGAGACAATATAGCCCAGGCTTTGCCCAGAGTTGTGTCTGTGAAAGATTTTGTTTTAAGCAGCCGTCATATTATTCTGTCATCTTGTGGTTCTGATAAATATTTCATGTAAAAGGTAATTACAGAGAGGAAAAAAAATAAATCCAGGTGTAAGGAGAACACATCTCAGCGGTGACGCGGTGAAAGATATGGAAATGTTTGATGACCAGGTTATTGGGTGTGATTATAGAATACTATAGCACGGAAGGAAGTCCATTGTACCTTTACTGGCGCTTTGAAACAATCTAATCCAACCAATCCATTTCCCCTGCTCCACCAATGTTGATTTGCTAACTGACAGCCTGCAGGGCAGTTCAAACCAGTAAGACTACCTAATTAAGATGCTGAAAATGGATAAAATAGGGTTCACAGGGAAAAAAAAACACTTTCACAGAATCTGAGGGGCTTGAAATGTTTCTTTTGTAGCAAGATGAGATCTGGAATATGCTGCATGAAAGCTGTGGGAAACCGTTTGAACAGGCACTTTGGGATGGGAATGGGATAAATATTTGAAGACAAAGTTTGCATTTACCTAGAGTGCTACATTTGACCACGAGATCATTTTCAAATGTTATGCAGTCAATGAAGTACTTTTGGCAGTCAGAAGAAAGACCACAAACGTGCGTCCATCAAGTTTCCACAAACACTGATGTGATCATGGCATCAGCTGGTTTTTCGGTGTTATTTGAGGCAGAAGTATAAGCAAGGTCGTAGAGTTTCGCTCACCTGGAAAAAATCGCAGGGCTGTGGGGAAAGAGGCAGCAGACGGGACTGATTTGGGTCATTCAGGAACTAGGACAGGATCGATTTCCTGAACATTTTTTGAGAGACCTCCCTGGTGGGAAGAACAAACAGAGTAAGGGGGCATCATTAAAAATACAGCAAGGTCAACGACGAGTAATAATTTTCGGAGAAAGCATTGTAGAAATGTAGCCCACTCTTCTGCCCCCGACTCACTGTCAGACTCTCTTACTCACGCTGTCCTACTCGTGCTGTCTCCATGTTGAGGAAAGGACATAACTGCTCTGAATTTTGGCATGGCCTGAAAATTGCAGCTCTGAGCAAAGATTTTATAGGTTGGGAGATAGTGGGAACTGCCGATGCTGGAGAATCTGAGATAATAAAGTGTAGAGCTGGATGAACAGAAATTTCTGAAGAAGGGTCCAGACCCGAAACGTCAGCTTTCCTGCTACTCTGACGCTGCTTGGCCGCTGTGTTCATCCAGCTCTACACCTTGTTATCTCTTTTATAGGTTGGGGTTGCTTTCCTTCGAAAAGAGTGGTGACTCATTTAAGGTGTACAAAATAATGAGCAGGTTAGAGTGGACAGGGCAGACCTGTTTCCCGTGGAGGGGATGTTAGTTACCTCAGGGCACCGTGTTAAGCTGATTGGCTCAAGGATTCGAGGGGATAAAATGAGAAACACCTTCGCCTTCACCCAGCTGGCGGCTGTGTCTGGAATTCACTGCCTAGTTTCGTAATTCAGGCGGAAACCTTCAAGCATTTTGAAAGGAGCCTGGCTCAGCCCTTGAAACATTGTAACCTGCAGGCTACAGAACTGTTGTTGAATGCCTGGCCTCTTTCTGTGGCAGAATTTTCCTATGCTTCAACGTGTGTCTCTCTGAACTGCTTCAAATGGAGATCAAAATTGTATAAGGTACTCTCGATGGGATCTCACTTCAGTCAAATGTTCTGTACAACTGTAGTAAAACATCGCTATGTTTATGTTCCATTCTTGTTTCTATAGACAACAAAAATCTTTCTTGCCCTTGTCAGCACTTGTACATGGAATTCTTTTTTATTTGTGGATCAGGATCCTGCTATTTCCACTTTGAAATTCTGCAAACTCTTTCGAATTAAATAATACGCTATTTTTCTATTCAACCTGCCAAAGTGCCAAGTCTTCTTTCATAATACTACACCTGCTGATTTTTTTGTCTGCTGGTGTAGCTTATCTATAATGCTGTACAGACTTCATATGTCCTCTTGTCGTTTAGTTTCTGGACTGTCTTTGTGTCATCGGCAAATTTAGGATTCGTACATTCGCTTCAATCAGGCAGATTGCAAATAGTTGAGGCCCCAGCCCAGATCTCTGTGATAGGTCCCTCGTTGCAGTTTGCCAATCTGGAAATGACCTGTTTAAGTCTACTCTCGGTTTCATGTTTGTTCATCAATCCTCTACCAATGCTAATATGGTACAACCACTCCACCATGAGTTACATGTCAAGTGCCTTCTGTGAATCCAATTCCATATTTTTTGAATGTTGCTTGTTAGTCCTTCAAAGAACTCCAGTAAATTGGTTAAACATGATTTTCCCTTCATAACCCTATATTGGCTGTGCTGCAGTCTACTTGCAAACAGTTTCCTTCAACAAGATGTCAAGCCATTTGGCTTGTCGTTTCTTGAGTCAATAGATGTGAGGTTAGAAAAGCACAGCAGGCCAGACAGCATCCAAGGAGCAGGCAAGTCAATGCTACAGGCCAAAATCCTTCATCAGGACTGTAGTTTCTTGCTTTTTGTCTTCTTCTTTTATTCCCTCTTGTTTAGATGTGGTTGGCTGAAATTATTGAAGTTGAAAGGAAGCATGACCATTTCATTGCTGCCATTGCCCACAGCAGTAGTGGTTAGGCCTTGTATTCAGCCATCTAACCCCTGAGTTGTTTGCCTTCCTTCCATGATACATCTGCTTCACTAGGTTTCTGCTCACCTCTAAGGTTTTCCTTAAAACAAACCTTTGGTCTTCTGTCCTAATAGTTCTGACGAAATGTAAACCCTATGCACAGATCCTGCCTAAGTATTTCCTGCTTTTTGTGTTACTATTTAAGATTTCCGGCATCTGTGTTATTTTGCTTTAATACTCCTTGGCTTACATTATTTCAAGTGTAGTGTTTTAATTGCTAAGTTGGAGGCCACTTGAATGCAAGTGTTTCATGTTGAGTTTAAGTCATATGTTTGTCAACATTATGAGAAACTGTTATCCAGCCATGAGTGGTTACATTGGAAGTGTTATGGCCCAAACCAGCAACCCAGCACCCCCCTCCTGCCCCAGATATATATTAGAGATAAAGTGCTGTGTTGCCAATATGATTCGATTAGTCCACCAGTAGGCTTTAATCAAAACACACTCTATTCTTACAACACAGTTAAAATGCAAAACTTAATTGGTGTAACTCTTAAAGGCACAGTACTGTCACACATATAGCTCAGAAACAGGCCATTTGCCCAAACCAGTCTGTACTGGCATCAGTAACTGAGCCTGCCCAGCCCACTGGTGGAGAGAATTCCATGGATTTACCGCCCTCTAAGTGAGGAAACTACTCATTACAGTCTAAATGGCTTTCCCCTTATTCTGTAGATAATTACTAATTCACTGAAAAGATGTGCTGACAGGTGGATAGTTAATATAATTCCTACATTTAAGAACACGTTAAGCCTAATATCAGTGGCAGGAAAAAAAACAGTGCGACTTTCGCTAAAGGATATAATAATAAAACATGAAGTAAAGAAGCTAGAATAGTGATAGGCGGAATGAAAGGCAAAAATGAAAACAGTGCTTGACCAACCTTACTGATTTTTAAAAGATATGTATGACACAAAGAATAAATTATGTTAATATGATGGATGTAACCTTCAAAACCACTTTCATAAAATGTCACATAATAGATCAATGAATCAGATCTGAGATGTCCAGGGCAAATGGCCAAGTGGTTTGCTCACTAGCTTCAAGACTCAAATCCGAGAGTAGGAGTAAAGCGAGTTCTTCAGAGTAGCAGTCAATGGGAACCCAAGGATCTGGGTTGAGAGCGCTGCTTTTCACAATTGACATTTACAGTTTGCACATGGTAATGAAAAACACAATTTCAAAATTTGCTGATGTGACCTAATTTGGGAGATTATTAATACTGAGAAGAGCTTCAAAAAATTGCAGGATGACACAAATGAACTTGAATGATAAGCAAGTAATAGGTAGGCAAAGTTGAATACAGATTAGTATGTGGTAGTGGAGTTTGGGAGAAAGAGTAGGGAAGGATCGATACTTGCAAGGTGTCAGAAGAGGTTGTAAAGGAGCACAGGGATCTCTGAGTCCAAATACGTTAAACACAAAGCTTTCAACATTCAGGATGGTGTCTACCTTGCAACCTGCTTATGTCAGGTCTCACAGGGGAAAGTGCACTGACACTCAAGCCCCACTACTCCTGCGGTCATCACAGAAGTTGAAGATTCAGGATGGTATGTTACCTCCGGGTGCTAGGGTCAAGAATATCTTGGAACAGCAACACAACATTCTTGAGTGGGAGGATGAACAGCCAATGGTCGTGGTATCCTTCAGTAACAATGACCTAGATTTAATAAAAGGAATGAGGTCCTAAAAGCAGATGTAGAGAGTTATGAAGCAAGTTTAAAAGTAAGACCTCAAAGGCAGTGATCTCAGGTTTGCAAAGGGGTGGGTTTTAAATTCCTGGGACTTTGGAACCAGTTCTGGGGATGGTGGGATCCACTGGATGGGCAGGACTGGAGTTGATGTCCTGTGGGAAGTATTTGCAAGTGCATTTGACGAGGGTTTAAACTATAAGAACAGGGGTTTGGGAACCTATACAGGGAGACAGAAGAGAGGGAAAGGAAAGCAAAAACAAAAGACAGAATGGGAAATAACCGGTACGCAGACCCTATTCAAGGGCAAGAATCAAACAGGGCCA